GTAACTTGTTCATAAACTAATTGAGGATTAGTTCATTAATTGAAAACCCTTAACATATTCCAATCATGTTTTATTCCATTAGATTAATGACATGTTTTTCTCATGATTCAATATTTTAAACGTACGAAACATAAATTCAAACAAAAAAAATAAAAAATATTTTCCCATCAAACACCATGTAAATTATTATTTGTATGTCTAAGCCATCTCCTATTGCTAAATAGCATCAATGTTCACCACCTATTTACCTAATTAACACAACATTTCAAAATATGTCTGGTAATTTGTATACCATTGTGCAGAATATATTCCTCAATATGCAGTGTGGGACTATATTAGTTTCAAACAATTTTAGAAAGACGTTGATTAAATTTTATTTAATTTAAATTTTTATTCTAATGTCCATTTTCATGATCTAATTAACATTTTCCTGCATGTGCATATGGGTTTGTTGTTTTTTTCAGGCTTAGTCGTGAACAGACCCAACAGCCCATGTACATTTGAGCTCTACAAAGTCAAACAACAGTCCAAATTCAAAGCCCAACAACCAAAAGAACACGCACCAAAAACAGAAAAAGCACACAATATATACACAGAAATAATAATAATAATAATAATAATAATAATAATAATAATGTTTGTCCATGTGGGATGTTTTTTACCAAAATCATTTAGATACATTTTGCAGAGTCAGATCTCAATAGGCACAACTAATGTTTAAAAAACGTGAGTTTTCAAGCCACTGAGATTAATTTGAGTTCTTGAGTCTAACAAATTTCATGAAAAAGCCTAAATTGAATATTCAAGTAAATTTTGCTTAGAAAAAGTATAGGATATTAAAATATATTTATTGAAACTTTTGGTCAATCTAAAATATTGTAGTGAGAAAATCAATATTTCAAGATATAATATGCATGGGAGAACTTAATTTAATCCTAGTTTCGAGCTTCACAAATATTAATAATCGTTAAATCGATTGTTCAATTGTCGATTACTGTTTAATAAATAATCTTCTTTAGCTTTTAAATTGATATTCAACCAACAATTTGTGTTCGAGATTAGTGAACTTCAGTTAAAACTTAATTGACATGGCCCTAAGGTTGTAGAATTATTAAAAAAAACGATGATTCATGAGGTCTATTTGTCTTGTTAAGGCTAGACTCGACTAGTTTGTCGTTTAAGATCATTTAATTAGTGAATTAAGCTTAATTCGACTCGTTAAGATTCATAATTGTGAATTTTTATGCAATTTTTTTTTTTTAACTTTTACCTTAATTTGACTTGTTAAGGTTCAACTTATGTCATTTATATTGATAAACAAGTTCAACTTAAACTCGTTTAGTTAGCGAGTCAATGCCCGAAATTGAGCAACATAAGCACAATGGTCTTCTAGAAAGTTTAAGAGCCCAATTGAACCCATCTGACCTGACACATTTTTTCCATGTTTTTCTCTTCTCTCTTTTCAAACTTTACAATGGGCTTTTTGGGAGATTCCATATACTTGAAAATGGAGATTAAATTTGGTCTTAAATAGTAACCATTGACTTATAGAAATAGTAAAAATTGTGACGAGACTTGTACCAAAAAATAAAATAAAAATAAAAATAAAAAATTGTGACGAGACCAATTACTCAACAAACTAGGGCAGCACTAATGGGCTTTGTTAAGTTGTTATGTGGATTTCATTTGAAAAGCCTATTCGTTGTGACAACTTATAGATGGGTCTCAAATGTGAAAAATATTAGGAAATTATTTGAACTTTGTAAAATATTATTTACATTAATAGTATATCTTATTTATTATGCCAAAATCCCAAAATCGAGATGGTAATATGTTAAATTAAATAATTAATACCGGTGGGTGTACAAGGCACTAGACAATATTTTAATTATTATTGGAACAAAAAAATTGCTAAATAGTAAATACACTCCACAAGGAGAAGGTGCCACGTAAGATCTCTAAAATAGGAAGACTTGATGAAGCTTTTTAAATTATAAGACTTCTAGAGATTTTTGTAACAAAACAAAGTCTTAGCAGAAAATCTTATACAATTGATTAAATTTTATTGGACTATGTCTCTCTAATACTTTTTTTCTTCTATATATGGTTAAATTATAACATCTCCTGTTTTGATCATTTTTGCCTTTCTGTAAAACTATTCATTTTATTTTAGATTTTGTGTTCGTAATCAATAGAAATTTCACTTTAAAATTCAATTTCTTCGTTTGTCGGATAAAATGGACACAATAAAATTTAACGTGCCGAATTGCAAGGAAATAAGGACACTGCTTATCCTTCATAAAAAATTGTTTCCGTTATTACTCCTGTTTACTATTAAGTCAAAATTACTCTTTTTGATTCAAATTTAACCCCTTTTAATGCCCTTTTTGGCGTTAATTTTTTTGGCAGTTTTTTTATTATTAAATATATATTACGCACGTCTTTTTAAATATATATTACACAGTTAATCTCTTCTTCAGTTATCTTCTTTACTCTTTTGATTATTTTTTCTTCTTCTTCCTGTTTTTTTTAATTGTTTCTAATCGCTTGTTTCTTCTTCTTTACTCTATGTTTTGTTTTTTTTTTTTTTCATTGTTCCTAATCGCTTGTAATGGTTAGAACAAGGCCTTCAGATTTAAAAATCTCGACGATGGATCACGAGGCGGGCTTTGTTCGAGGAGGCGGTAATTGGCGGCTTGAGGCTGCACCACCACTCGCGGCTTTGTTCTAGGCGGAGGCTTGCACCACTCGCCTTTTTTCTAATCGCTTGTAGGCGGAGGCAGGGTTGCGCCTTTTTTGTTTTAGGCCTCTAAACAGACGAACAAAATCCAAATAGAGCCTTCCCCGCGGCCACTGTAGTGCTCAAGTTGTAACTCATAACTTTGAAGCTCATCTCCACGCACCAAGCTCTGGTAAGGAAGAATAGATTTCAATCCTTGTGTGTCTGTTGTGTAAATTGATTTTAGTTTAACGAACAATTAATTATGAAATTAATTGAACTATGTTGGTAAATTTGATTTTTTTTTTCTATTTTTTATTGAAGTTGTGCAGCCGAAAATGGGGACTGGAATTGATTTTTCCCATATTATATTTTGGGAAACTCATAGTTGAATTGTTTGTAAATTTATCAAATTATTTATCAGCGTATGTTAAAGATGTGGTTTGAATTATAGCTTTTGCGAAAGTACATGTCGAAATTTAGTTTTCAAATGCTGAAGGATATTGATTTGTCTTATTTTATATACTTACTTGCCGCAATTGATTTGTACTGTCCTGATATGTTCTCGGCTTCTCGCACTATGAAGCTTTGTCACTCAAGTTAAAAATGTGGCTTTAAATTTGTGGTTAAGCAAAGATTCTTTTTTATGAACTTATAATTTAGAAATATATATGAGAGTTAATATTTTTCTGGGAAATGGTTTTGTATATACAAATTTTTGAGTGACTTTATAAATACTAATCAACAGATAATATTTTATTATTTATATATAGTTATTTTTATGTTGCTTAACAAATGTTTATGTTGTTGTTTTATTGTTGTTTGATAAATGTTTTGTTGTTTTATTGTTACTTTTGATGTTTTTATAATATTTATTATTAATTTTTTAAATTTCAATAACAAATATTTCTATCACTTTTTAGTTAATTTAATTATATTGATCAATCTTTTTTGTTGTTGTTGTTTTTATTCCCAGGGATTGAAGATTGAAGAAGAAATTGAAAAATAA